GAAGAAAACAATTTGTTTAGTACGAAAAGAGATAAGGATAAAAATAAATTAATTGAAGAAAAAATGAAAGGAAAAGAAAGGAGAAATTTGAAAAGGTTTATCGTGACTTTTAAGATCGTTCGAGGATTTACTAGTGTTGGCTGCCAGCAAGAACAGCGGTCGCAGCAATCGTGAAAAGTGGTCTTAGAGCCTTGCGGCACATCTTCCTAATATGTCGGCCACTTCTCCGTCTCGGCTCATCCCCCTTGGCTGGTAATTAATCCGGCACGCGCGCGCCAAGTATGACACTCCTGCCCTGAAAAGCATGTTTATGGCCCAAGCCGCGATGTAAACGGCGAGACAGAGAAGAGTACGTGCACGCGCGCACAAGCACACACAAACACACACTCATAACCCCAAACTGTTTCCAACTCCGTAAGCACGATTTCAAAGTGCCGTATGAAAATTTGGCACATGGCCGAATCGTTTTCTCTCTTACTCTCTCTCTCTCTTTCTCTCTCTCTCTCTCTCTCTCTCTCTCTCTCTCTCTCTCTTTCTCTTTCTATTGCTGTCTAACTATCTATTTTTTTTTCGCTGTTAGGATTTTCCTGTCTCGAGAAAAATTTCTATTCAAACTATGAATCGATCTTAATTACATTTCGCTAATGATACCTTATCCTTCATTATCCTTGTACAATTAGAACTCCTAATCGTTTTTTCGTTCTAACGATTTAAGCCTGTTAACTAGACCAGAAACGATTTCTTTCTCCTATTTATCTACCTATGCATGTATGTATGTATGTATGTATGTATATATATGTTGTTTCTATTCTATTCGCTAGTATAATTAAACTTTTGTGAGAAGACAACTAGTCTTGTCCAGTTTAAAGGAACGATGCATTAAATATTTCATGTTTCGCTATATTAACTTTCCAGCCGTTGGCGATGTTTTTATTTTATTTGCATATAATCGCAAACTATTTTTATTTATTATTTATAACAGTTAAAGATTGTATAAATGGAAATTTTATTGACTCTGTTAAAAATTAAATGCCACGCGAAAATACCGTGCCCCGCAAAATTGTATAGAATATGGGTGCTGCTCGCGGCCACACACAGAGAGTTTTAGAATTATTTATTATTTTTAATTCTCATCGTTTTTTTCATTATTAGAATAAAAAAATTCAATTGAATGTACACGAGATAGTTGTAATTTTTTCATATCTTCAATGTCTGACCAACGTTCGATTCGACTACTTGGATTTTGCTCTACATCAATTATCTAATTCAACTACTTGGATCAGTGACTGACCAATGGCCGTAAATATTACATGCCTATTGTGTCTGCGGTTGACGACTAAGTCCCCGTTACTACTTGAATTTTGTGTCAGACAAATGGTCGATTTTACTACTTCTAGTTGAACAAATCCAATCACAATAGACATATCGGAATCAAATATTTTCTTCTTCTTTTTCTTCCTCGAGAAAGAAACATCGATGATCGTTAACACGATTTGGAGATGTGAATTAAAATATATGTCTATGTTCATTGAATTCTTAACAATGGCGTCATTATTCTATACATTTCGTTTCTTTCGAAAGTTCCTCTTTTTATTATAATCAACTCTAGGTTACCTATATATATATATATATATTTATGTTATATATGTATATATATATATATATATAGAAAAAACACACACACGTACATACGTTGAATAGAAACGAGAAGCTTTGAAAGCGCGATTTTAGGGCACCAGGCTACTATCGATTTTCGCGGACTATCTAGTTTGCTGGCTGATTACATGATAACGATTGGTGCATACCATCGAGTTTTGTGTCGTGAGAGTTTTCTCTTGGTACCACTCGCCCTCTATTTTTCTCTCTTTCCACCTCCTCTCTTACTTCTCCTCATTCTCCTCTTACCGATCTCCATCGCTCTCCTGTATGCTGTTATCTACCCCTTTACTTGTTCCGTTCCATCTTCTTTTATAGAAAATTAGGACTCCCACGATGGATTCGCCATTATTTCGTCAACCATTGTTATCCGTTGTTATCAACGATAGAAGAGAAAAGAAAGACTGATGTTTTCTCTCTTTTTTTCTTTTTATTCTTCTTATTTTTGATTCTCTCCAATTATGTAGAACTAAATTTTAATTTTTAGCTCTCGGTAAAATATTCAAATATCTTACTTGTTAAAATATATTCGAGAATGACAATCGCGTTTCACGCGTTACTTTTCTTTCTTTTAAAGAAAGGAAGGCGAGTTTTCTTTTTTTGATTAGTTAACTTCACTTTTATTCTCTTCTTGACACTTGGCACGCGCTCGAATACCAATAATGAAGACCCGACGAATGGGGAGAAAGGAAAAATGCAAGGAGGAGAAGAAAAAGAAGATTTTTCTTCCGTTTATTCTGCATAATTCTTATGAATAATGTAATGCGATCAGAATGATCGATTCAATGAAATCTTATGATAATGGCGAATCGATAGTTAGTTCATAGGGGTTTATAGGTTTTCCTGTTGTTTGCATTTCTTAGGGTAAGAATGACATTAGTGGCTAGTTTCCTTCTTTTTCCCCAAAAAGAAATGTAAGAATTCGAGACAAATAATAAATCGGAAAAATATTGTAGTATAAAATTATCAGCAGGACAACGACGAAACTGTCATAAAAATTATTCGATAAAAATAATCAGAAAATGAGATAATCTAAAATCGGTATTATTTAAAGAGTATAAGTAAAGGATTTGTCAACATATAGAGAGAAAATGTGCATTGATTTTGAACGAAGAAAAGGATGAAAATAGATGTAGCAATAGTATTAGATAAAAAGAGAGAGGAAGGTAGAAGAGCTGGATGAAAGAGGAACTGGATGAAAGAGGAACTGGCTGAAGGAAGAAGGAAGGAGTCGAGGCTTTTAGGGTGAGAGTTGGATATCCAACAATATGTGTGTGTCGGATCTACCTAGTTTCTAACGTAGATCGCTAAGAGAGAGAGTAGGTAGGAAGAGAATTGGGTCAGCCAGCTTGTGAAGAGTACTTCAGGTGTTGTTACCTATCTATCTACCACCGACCTACCTACCTAACCACCCATCCTCTCCTAAGTTTTGAGACCATCTACACCTACCAATCCACCCAGCCCTCCTATCTCTCTTGCCAATACATCCACTTTCTCACTTCAAGGAGACGTTTCTCGCTAAACCTACAACGATGTCTACCGCATCGTTCCTCAGAGACAGAACGACGTGGTGGCTTCTTTAAAAATGACCTAAGATATAGTTGGACATTGAATTTATAGCCTAGTACATTTTACTTTTTCAACCAGAAGATAGGATACTCGTCTAAATTCCGAAAAAACTATTCCTTGTTCTTTTTATACGTTATACCGAATTTTTATAACCACAATAAAAGATTTTGCCTAGTTTATAGATACAATAACAATATTAATAATAATCATCATAATAATTGTAATAATAATAAAAATAATAATAATAGTAACTATATTGTTGTAAGGAACGACAGTAGTGATGAAAGTAAAGGAAATGGGTTGTCGTGATTTTCTAAAGAAAAAGTATTCCATCAGAAAGGCTAAAGGAAACGAAGGCGATATTCTCAATGACATCGATAAGCAGGGACAAAAAAAAAGACCGGAGAAGTTTTCGAAGAAGGAAAAAGAGAAATCTCGATAGACGTGGCCCAAGCTCATCCTCGTCATTCGCGGAACCTTTCGAATTGGACGTTCGAGTATAATATCACGTCGATATATTCTCCTCGAGTTTCAAAAAGAATTAGAAAGAAAGAGAAAAAAAGTGCAATAGTATTGGTGCACGGTAACGGGACTACAGGCTGCTTCTCTTTTTCACGGTTCTTTCTAGGAATTCATTTCGTGCCTCTCCGCTCTCATCACCGTTACTTGTGCACGAGTATCGGCTGATAACAACCAAGAGAAAGTCTGCTAAGAATAAGAAAACGAGAAAGAGAAAGAGGATGGGAGGGTTGAAAGAAAAGTTGCCCTTTTCGAGCAGCAATTTATGAAACTCTTTGTGAATATCAAAGCAATTTTATTTCTTTTTTTCTTTTTTTTATTTTGTATATAAATAAATTTTCAAATATGTCTGTCAATTCCAAAAAAAAAAAAAAAATAATATAAAATAAATTAGAATAAATTTTATTTCGCGAAAAAGATTTCGATAAAAATAAAAAGAATAAAACCGCGAGTTGCAAAATAAAATAAAAGCTAGGAAAGAAACGTACAGTAATGGGATAAAAAATAAAGAAAAAAAAAAAGATAGAGAGAAAGTAGAAAAAAGAAAAAGATAGAAAAAGAATGAAGAAAATAAGAAAAAGCCTGTGGGAATCGGGAATCCAAAAAGTAGAGGATAGAATCAGAGAAGTGGGATATTGGGGAACAGGGTAGGAGGACGAAAGTGGGGATGAATCAGTAAAAGGAAAGTAGAGGGAAAGAAACGATGTTCGGAACAATGCGATACAACAACTAGACCGTGTGAAGTGCAATATTTCTAGCGTTTCTCGTTTCGCCTGTATAAAATACGTACAAGTAGGTCCTACGATCCATAACCCACGCCCACTGGATCGCAGGTACACGCCTCGTGTACTACAAGGATATCACAGTAGGCCGTACGCGCACGCGCGCGCACACACATCGCGCGTACTCCTATGGAAAAGAGAGTGAGAGAGAGAGGAAAAAAAATTTTTCATGTTTCTGCAAGCCGTGCGGCGGCCTCTTCTCGTTATCGTTTCACTCTGTTCGTTCGTTTCGTTTCGTTTCGTTTCGTTTCGTTTCGTTTCGTTTCGTTTCGTTTCGTTTAGTTCGTTCCAAGTGGCACAAAACGAAAAGAAAAGAAATCCGTGTAAAACGTTCGTAATATTTTTTCAGTAGAAGGAAGGGGTTAGGGTACGGGCTTGATTTTTGTTTTCCTTCGTTTGTTCTTTTTTATTCCGAACATTTCCTTTCTCTTTTCATTTTTTTCATTTGTCAAAAGAGAATTTTCATATCCTCCACCCTTCATATTTCCATTCCCCTCGACCCTTCCATCCTTATCTTTTTCCTCTTTCACTTTTTTTCTATTTCATGAAATAACCAACAAAGAAAAAAATTGTATAAACGAAACTTATCGCTTATTCGTGATTTGCGAGTCAAACGATACTGTCGAACCGAATACCTACACAGAACGAGATCGGTAATTAAACGTAAACTGTGATTCGAGGGAGAGCGAACGAATGGAAAAAAGAAAAAATAGAAGAAAGGAAAAATAAAATGATACAAAAAGAAACGAGAAGAGTACGGATATAACGTTACGTAGATATGCGTGGCCGGTGATAGTAATATGAGATAGACTGGATTATTGGGTTGATACCTCGATAAAGAGCATTCGATTACCGGCTACAAATATATCGAAAGATGATAAATAAAATGAAATAAAATAAAATAGAATGAAAAAAATAAAAATAGAACGCGTATAAAGAACATGCCATATTTATAAGAAATACGATAGCTATGGATAAACGGATACACGTCGATTAAGCAATGGAATTCATGAGAAATAGGATCTGTGTCGACGTTTAAATTAACAAACTATCTGATAATAGAAACTCCTATAAGTCGGACATGTCGATTAATAAGTAGTCGAGCTAATTATCCGATCGTAATGGTAGGTATATGCAAAGTAGTTCAGTCAATCGTTTCTCAAACATATCCGCAATGAATTCAATAGTTCAGTCAGACGTATCGACGAAGTAGTAAAGTCAATTGTTGGTTAGACGTAGCGGCAAGTAGTAAAGTCGGTCGTTGGTAAGACCTACGTGCAAAGTAATAAAGTCTAAAGTTCGAGTCAAACGTAGTAGCCAAACGACAAGTAGTAAAGTCAATCGTTGGTTAGACATACACGCAAGCAGTGAAGTCAATCATTGCTGAAACGTACAACTGCAAAGCAATGAAGTTTGGTCAGATGTATTGAAGATTAACTTATTGTTTAATTTCTTAAAATTACTATTTGAATGGTAAAATTGTCAGCGATATACAATCCACAATTGAGAGTATCTTTCAAGTTAGTAACTGCTGTATCATGATAGCAGGAATACTTTTCTCATCCGCGTTCTTTTTTGTCCGGCTTTATCCTTCGTCTTTTTCTATATTGTCTAAGCATGCACGGATCATATAGGTCAAATTTAATAAACCGTTCTTCCTGCAAGGAAAATAAAAGAGAGGGAAAAAGTAGGTAATAGCTATCTCGGTGGGTGCGTGGGCCAAAGGAAGGGAAAAAAGCTCGTCGAGGGAAACTCGAGAATCTCGTATCATTGATGGAGTGTCCTATCCTGAAGTCGATGTGTAATTATAGCTGATTCTTGAAGAATATACAAAGGTAGGCAGGTTTAATGAATATGTAGGTCAGACACTGACCCACCTTACTACGAAGACAACCGATTAGTCAAGGGCTGCTATCCCAACGAAAAATGGCAAAGGAAGAGAAAGTCTTTTTCTTCCCATGGGAAAAAAGAGAGAAGGGTAAGAAGAAAGGAGGAAGGAAGGAAGGAAGGAAGGAAGGAAGGAAGGAAGGAAGGAAGGAAGAGCTACTAATGTCGTCGTTATCTTCGCCGTCCTTTAATTACGATTTTTCTTCTTTTCAATATAGATACCGTGAATATAAATCAAACATAATGAGATAGTTTAATTTGAAAGGAAGTATGCTATTATATGGTCCTATATTTTGATATTATACGTGACTTGAATATGCAGCTCATATAATACTGCTCTTATCTAAAATAAAAAAAAAAAAAAAATTTTATATAAAGCTAACATCCTCGTCATTATTTTTGTCTGATTTTAGGAAGTGTATAGAATATGGACGTGCAGCGCCCTGGTGCCTTACTTTCATCACAGCGGACCGCCGGACTTTGAGTTCTTGGAGAAAGATTGGACTAGGATAAGACCGTGTATGTCCCTCTGCCAGTCTGTGGAACAACGTTGTCCTTATATGCTTCCGGGTGACCGTGCCCCTGCGTACCCTACGCAATATGCCGGCGAACCTACCTTTCTTTGCAGAGGTACCTCGCCATTTTTTATTCCCCGTTATTTCTTTTTCAACGGAAATCATATTCTACGTAATGTTATTTCAACCCTAGACTTTATCCGAGAGACGTGTTATCTTAGCGAATCTCTCTCGCTCGAGAAACAAACAAAATAGAGACCAAAAATATTATTCATTATTTTTCATTCGACACGGTGTATTTTTAATTCATGTCGTTTCACCCCTTTACGTTTATTTTCCTCTAAATACTGGGAAAGGGTAAAAGTATTTTTGGCACCCTCCTGTTATGAAATAAAATCAAATCACGTGAACACTTAAAATCACTTAAATACGTCAAATCAATTCAAGTGTTTTCCACGGGGACAAAAATCGTTGAATATGATCACTAAACTTTTCAATATATTACTGACAAAAATCAAATAAATAAATAAATTAGACGCAAACAAAGCGAATATCTTCATCTTCGATTCATACATACGTAGGAGATAACAGGATATATTGTTTTTAACGAAGCTAAATGGGAATGAGATAACAAGATAATATAAGATGTAGTTGGATGAAAAAACCTTTTTTCAGACCCAAACATACCCGAGACGGGGGAACAAGCTTTGAGGGCGCTGCACAGCAGTGACGAACGAGAATGCTGTTACCACGTGTGCTCTGAGGATGAGGTAGGCTTGGGGATCTGTGCGAATTGCACTAGTCGCGAGCTACGTAAAATAGGTAGAGAACGCGATCCTCCTACGGCACCCCACTGCGACATTACACCTATTCAATCGGACTCTGCAGGTACGTCGATGTCGTCTGCATCTTCCCACGTGGATTTCATTAATTTAACCAAGCAATCGTCCGAATCTTTCTTCTTTGCTCTATCAGATCATTTTTTTTCGTATATATTCATATTGAATCTTGAACAATCTCTAATATCTTATTAGTAACACTATTATTAATGGCAATAGTAAAATTTATACAAAATCTGATCTCAAAGAAATAACTTACTTGATATTCGTTTAAAAAATATTAATAACACATTAAACTCGCGTTAATAAATAGCTACCAATTAGCTAACTCCAAATTAATGGAGTAAAATCGATGAATTAAAGGACCATTGTTTGCACGCATATTAAATTTGATAGTAAAACTTATTTTACGTTGATCCTTACTACAGTTTAAATTACGATTAAATTCTTTGTAAAATAAATAACCCCGGATCGTGATAAAATTCTTGAAAATCGAGTTAAAAAGTACGAGCTAGGTATTATTGGACGAAGAAACATTTGTGATTCATAGGTGAGGAGAAAGCAGCAGAATGGCCAGTGTCCACGGATGGCCAGGACATCGAATCCGATTCAACGTCAACAATCTCCCCAATGGTTGGGCTCGATCAACAACAACAACAACAACAACAACATCAGAGTACATCATTATGCGGCAGTGGTGGAGTCGGCTCGATGACTTCGAGTTCATCGAATCGAGTTACGGCTTCTTACGTGTTGCCGTATCTTTCTCTGTCATCGATCATTATCCAAATGTTTTGGTGGTCGTGCCTGTTGTTGAGGAGTTTTTCGAGAAGGATGGTCGTGCCCATTCGAAGCGTCCTGTATTCGGGACGTGGATTTGCGTCCTTCATCGTTGTTGTCGTCGTCGTCGTCGTTGTTGGAAGTGGAAGAAGCGAAGAAAACGAAGGAGGAGGAGGACGAGGAGGACGAGGAGGAGGAGGAACTGGAGAAGGAGAAGGAAGAGAAAGAGAAGGAAGGGGAGGGAAAATGCGATCGATCGAGGAGATTCGACCTCGTTCTCGTTCAGGCTCGTCCTGTTTTCGATGGTGGTGTTCATCGTTGTCATCGAATAATAGCAAGTTGACCATCTATTTGGATAAGAAGAATAAGAAAAAAAAAGGTGGTGATGATGATGATAATAATAATAATCTCGAGAAGGAGAGAAAGAAGGAAGAAAGGAAGAAAAATAAAAAGGAGAAGATGAAGAAGAAGGAGTGGTATAAAGTTTGGTGGAAAGGATGGTGTCGTTGGTGGAGTTCCTGGAGGAAACGTAGAAAGAAGAAAAGGAGTCGGGAGTACGAGGGTAAAAAAAGAATCGAACTCCTCCCGATCGTCGTGAACGTCGTCGTCGTCGTCGTCGTTGTCCATGTAGTCGTCGTCCACGTCGTCCTTGAGATCATCCGTAGTAACAAAATGACGACGAAGGAGCGGGAATCGCGTCGTCGGCCTCGGCATAGACGGCGCCGTTACAAGCTCGAACCCCGTCGTGGCCGTTGTCGTTGGAGATGGAAAAAAGATCATTCTTACTTGAGTTTAGTTCCGTGGCAAGAACCTGAGGGGAACGTACTTTATTTCTTACCGTTTCCTCTATCCCCTCCTTCTCGTCTTCGTCCAACGAACGAGAGGACCCGCGTGGACGAGAAATCGTTCCCGAATATTCCACCATGATAATTATCCATTTCTCCAGCATTCTCACCGATCCTCCCCATTCCCCCTCCGTGTGTTCGCAAAAGGCCAAAGGACGAGGCAGGACCTTGTAGTCGTTAGCGAGCTATAGGACGAAGACGAGTTAGGAATTTATCAACGCGACTATCATGGTACGCGCTAAGTAAGAAGAACCGAGGAGATGGTCGTTATTGTCTATTAGGCAACTAACGTTACGTCTAACTTTAATAATAATGATAACAATAATACAATAATAATAAATAAATAAATAAATAATTAAATAAATAAATAAAAAAAAACAAAATAAAATAATAATTAAATTAATATTAGTTAACAAATAATAAAATTAAATTAAATAATGATGATAATGAAGATAATATGAAGATGATTATGATGGAGATGATGATGATGAAGAAGAAGAAGAAAAAGATGATGATAATTGATGATATTAATAATGAAGATTATGATAATTATTATGATGTTTATGATCGATGATCGATGATAATGTTCGATTACGATAAATAAAGATCAATAATGAGTTGGAGTGCGAGGCAAGAATGAAAATGATTATGAACGGTTATAGTGATGACCGTTATATATATAGCGATGTTGATAGCGATGGTGAAAAAAAAAAAAGAAGAAGATAAAGATAAAGATAAAGAGGAGAGAAAAGAAAGGATAAATGGAGAAAATAATGAAATAATAATAATAGTGATTAATATGATGAAATAACGATTTAAATAAAACAAAAAACGGAGGATGAATAAGTAACGTTAACGTAATGATAGATTGATAACGATACGATTACTATTTATTGTACACCATTTCGCATACACAGAAGCACTCACAGAGTGACGACCCGTCAAGAAATGAGGATCTGTTGTTAGAACATTGAGAAAGAGTGAGAAGAGGACGAAGAGAACAAAGAGGACGAAGAAAACGAAGAAGAAGAGTATGGATATGAGAAGAAAAAGATCAAGGAAACCGGTGGGGGAGAATAAAAAAGAAAATACCAGGAAATATATAAGAAAGGACGAAGGAGTGTATGGAAGAACGAGAGAGAGGGAGAGAGAGAGGGAGAAAGAGAGAGAGTGAGCGAGAGAGAGAAAGATAAAGAGAGAAGGAAAAGAGACACGGTGATGGACACACAAACACACGTATAAAGGAATTAAGAGACAACATTTTGAGAAAAAAAATAAACAGTATAGGTAGATAGTTTTCTCGATGAAGAAGAGATCGAAACGGAGAAAATGGAAATAATGAGAAGAAATAAATAAGTACGACGTGTTATCGAGATATAATATGTGTTCGTTTAGACATTACTATAATATAATAATTATTATATTTAATATAGATACTTAACTATACGAGACGAGGAAAAAATGAAGAGAAAATGCGTGCGTGTGAATGACGAATGAAAGAGAGAGAACAAGGGGGAGAGAGAGAGAGAGAGAAAGAAAGAAAGAAAGAAAGAAAGAAAGAAAGAAAGAAAGAAAGAGTTTAAAAATATGAGAATACGAGAGCCTATGTGATATGTGAGAAGAAATAACGGATTGTAGAGAGATTATGTGTCTCAACAAGACACAAAAAGGATTTAGTACGACGGAAGGAACGTGTAAATGTTTGTTTGTGTTTGTGTGTGCAAAGGAGGAATGGGGAAAAAGAATAAGAGTTAAAGAATGAGTGAAACAGAGAGAGAGAGAGAGAGAGAGAGAGAGAGAGAGAGAGAGAGAGAGAGAGAGAGAGAGAGAGAGAGAGAAAGAAAAAGGTGAATAGAAAATCTACGGCCGTTTCTCCGTTTATAGCAGAGTATCATGAAGCGAGGATAAAAAGAAAGAAAGATAAAAGGGAGAAAGTAAAAACATAAGCGTGTCTTCTTTCTACGTTCTTCCTTCTTCGTTATTTTTCCTACCTCTCGAAAGCAGACTTCTGTTGTTTTTGATCACTTTATTTAAAAAAACAAGAAAGAAAAGTAAAAAGAGAAAAATAGAGAGAGAGAGAAAGAGAGAGAAGGGGATGCGTTACGTAAGAGTCTCGGGAGATAGGAAAAGAGAAGGGAAGCGCGAAGAAATCTCGTTTTGTTTGTGCATTTTAAAAAAAGGAAAAAATATGTTACTTTATTTTAGTATTTAATTTTTCAATTTTCTTTTTTCTTTTTATTATTTTTTCTATTTTGTTTTTTAAACCGTTTCTTCTCTCTCGCATCGATACAAAAAAAATATTTAATTTTGATAACCCGCAAAAGTTAGCTTTTCCAGTAAAATTTATTTTCGTTTTAAATACATGAGGGAAGGAAAAAAAAAAGAAAAAAAAAGGAAACGAAAGAGGAAAATTATCGTCCGCGTCATTGATAGATATCATCGCAAACCCCGTGGCGCACGCGTTGGAAAACGTTATAATTAATTTAATGAATGAAAAATGAAGAGTATTCGTTTCCGTTGGTTATACTTGTGAGAGTAAGAATGTAGATGAAAAAGATATTTGAGAGAGAGAGAGAGAAAGAGGAAATAAAAATTGAAACAACGGTTGAAATGAAACTTTCAAACATCACCAAATATCAGAAATTGTGAGATACGCACAAATTTGTTCATCGTCTGGAAACGAATTTCACGCAGCTGTGCTTCTTTTTCTTTGAAATGATCGAGAAGAAAGAAAATATAAGAAAAAAAAATTAGATGAAAGCAAGGCGGAACATTTTTTTTCATTTCGATTGCGTAAATCTTTCTTGTGTTTACAAAATCGCGTCCGGTTGCGGTTATCATTAATGCTATAAAAAATACAGGTAGAATCAGATAGGACCATTTGACGAATCAAACATTCCATTCTATCTCCCTAACTCTCTCTTTTTCTCACTTTTCTGTTTTTTGTTCACTTTCTTTCTTTTTTTATTCATTGCAAACTTTCTTCGACTTTCTGTTTTTTTTTCTTTTCTCTTGAGAGATTATTATTTGCGAACTTCTTATTTCTAGCTTATATATTTTTTAATTTTTTTTATTTAACTTTTTTATTTCTCTCTCTTTCTCTCTCTCTCTCTCTCTCTCTCTCTCTCTCTATCTATCTATTTATCTATCTCTCTCCCTCTCTCTCAGTCTCTCTGATATTCTCACGAGATAAACGGAGAGACTGCTGACTCGTTCTCAGTTTCGATGGCCTCGCGTAGAATGGAATCGTTCGAAATAGTCAGGGACGTTCGATTTCGGTAATAACGCGTGAAATAGGCTGATTGTAAGAGTAAAAAAGGAAATAAGTGAGAAAAGAAAGGATGGAAAAAAGAAATACAGATAGAAAGAAAATGAGAACAACCTATTCAAAAGTCGGTCACGCAATGTAGGTCGACTATAATGTTATTTATTAGCTGTTTGGTGAGTGGACGATTGATCGTGTACTTACTTACGTATCTCGATGGAGAGGAGAGAAAAAAAATAGAGTAAAAAGAAAAGAATCGAAATGAAAAATAGAAAAGCAAGTAAGCAACTACTAAGTAAGCAAGCAAGCAAGCGAGCGAGCGAGCAAGAGGTCGTAAGTTTCATCCATAAACCCCCATATTCACGATCTTAATCTAATGATTCGTTCTTGAATATTAAAAGAAAGAAATAGGTAAAATGCCTTTTTGTCCTCTTGAAAGGTTAAAGAGAGGAAATAGAAGATATTGCGAATATATGAAATGTCATATTGGAAAAATACGAAATAATGGAAAAATGGTGATGGCCGCGAATTATCGGCTCGCCATTTAAAACGAACTATGTTCCATGTTTTTTAGATAATAACACAAATGATATATATACATAGACGACGGTTCGTTCTTCTTTCTTTTAAATTTCTTCTTTTTTTTTTCTTTTTTTTGTTTGTTTTCTATTTTTCTCCTCCCATATCCAAGAACTCTAGTTAGACGATGTCGTTCGACACGAAAAAAAAAAAGAAACGAAAAAAAAAAGAAATACATGATTTTTATCGCGAATAATCGAAAAGATTATCGACGGCTAAGCCACGCCATATTTTACCAGCTCAGGCGATTGTAACCGAAGATTGATTCTCTTCTCCCCCTCTTATCCCTCTACGAAATCTCGAGCTAAATTTTCTCGATAGAAAATCCCACACCTGCCTTCGCAACAACCTAGCCAAACCTTCACCTAAACCCGTCGAGAATAGAAAATTTGTACCTGCGATTGGTGTATGGTGCTCGTAAAAAGGAATTTGGAACCCGGTGGTACGTATTTTTGTTATGCTTTACCTTCAAACCATCAACGACCTCTTGAACGAATATATATATATACAGTAGTTATTTAAATATTATACTTATAATTAGAGTTTCTCATTAAATGGAAATACGTTCTGGAAAAATGACCACGTTCAGTACTGTTAATAGGAATAATTTTCAATGTAATTTGTAGTTTGGTGATAATTATCCGTACATGTGTTTTCCTTTCAATTAGCAATAACACTTATCTGATAGGATACGCAAAAGCCGACCAAAATAGTCTTTGGTCGACGAATGTTTGTTGGTGGCGAAGTAAAGCCGATTAGTAGACTCGTTAGCGATATATATGCGTTAAGATGGATACGATGCTTTGAGTTTTCTTTTTTCATTCAATCATTTTTGATCTTGTCACCAATCCGGTAGATTATGAAAAAAATTTACCTCCTTGTTTTCTATCCTTTTGCCCATTCAATTGAAAAATTCTTTTAGACATGAGATAATATTTAATATAAAATTAGTTGTAAATAATATATAATCATACTTTTGGGTCCTTTGATTGGATTTAATTCATTTTGATTTTAATTTCTTACACGTACGTCTCGATCGAGTCCTGCACCGAAAAGATCCGAAAAATCGTTCGACTTTAATCCGATGATGAAAGATCATCGGGTAATTAAAAAATAAACAAAAAAGAACAATTCGTTTATATACGACGATTTTCAAAATGACACTTTTATATCCCCCTTTCTCTCTCTCTCTCTAATACAATTAATTTTATAAAATCAATTAAATTAGAGAAAGAGAGAGAGAGAGAGAGAGAGAAAGAGAGAGAGAGAGAGAGTTTTAGCTAAGATAGATATTTGATATAATTTTTCTCGAAACTTAGAAGCAAGTGCAATCCGCTTTTCGCATCCGACGACACTCGACCCAGCCTTTTGTTCCTATATATCTTCCTCTTGAGGGTTAAACGCTTCTGATATCTTCTCGAGGCCGATCCGTCCCACTACCCTTCTCTTCTCCTTTACCCTTCTCATCCTCCCTCTTCTTTCCCCTTCTAATATAGAAGAGGTAGCAAACCCTCCTCGTTCATCCCTTTTTTCTTCTTTCTGGTCCTCTCGAACTTCCCTCCTTTTTTCTTTTCTTTTCTTTTTTTTTTTACACGAGTTCACCATTTTTTCATCCCCTTTTCGAAGGCGTACAATTTCTCTTGCTATAATCAACATTTTACACTAACAAAGAAGAACTAAGGAAACAAATAACATAGTTAGATAAATAAATAAATAGATAGGTTGATAGATAGATAGATAGATAGACAGATAGATAGATAGACAGATAGATAGATAGATAAATAGATAGAGAAAGAAAGAAAGATAGAGAACTTCCATTTAAATTAGAGTATTTTTTCGAATTCGTCACGTGCGAGTAAGACGCGGCGGCGCCT